CCCCTTCCTCAGAGCGTAGACAGTCTAGCTCACTATGTGCTATTTTATACTCTACAGCCAGTCAAAAGATCAATAGGGTCGAAATCCCACCAATTGTGGCCCAGCATAATGTTACTAGGGAGACAAGTAGGTAGCCAATCACAAAGAAGTAGACGCTATCTCTTTCGGGGAAGCCGCCCCCATTAACCCACTGAGCCGACCGTTCGGGAAAAGAACAGACTGTTAATATGAAGAAAAATGAATAGAGACTACCCATTGGCCTTTAGATCCCTACTCAGCACAAATAGACCACCCATAAAAACTTTTTATTAGTCAAGTTCACTTGTGACTAATTCTGACAGCTGGCACACAAGTCAACTTAACAAATAAAATGTTTTTATGGGTGGTCTAATGTGCTGAGTAGGGATCTTTTTGACTGGCTGTAGAATATAAAAAAGCACATAGTGAGCTAGACTGTCTAAGCTCTGAGGAAGGGGTGGTGTCCCTGAAAGCGCTCCAAGCATTAGCAGTGGAACTCTGTGAGGAGAAGAGAATCTATTCGATCTCTCTTTCTGTTACATCCACAGCAGCTATCAAATCAAGGACTGTCAGTTTTGATGCTTCTACATACTGCCTTATTTGTGAGTATTTTTTTGTACACTTTTATTTAATAAAAAAGCTTTACCTGCACCAAGAAAGGCGCCCAGTTTTTTTTTTCCCATGTAGTTCTTTATCCATGTACACACCATGGGGGTTTTTTTGATTAGATTCGTGGCTTCCTATATTAATCACCAACTGATAGATAGTATCCATTAGGTATTGGGATACGTGTTCAAAGAGTTTTCCAACTTGATCTATCTTGTCCATACTCCAAATCATCGTCTGTCAAGGGGATCAGCACTGATTACTATCAGGTGCTTTACCTGGGAGCATTCCCTCGTTTAGTTTCTGCAGGGATTGAGCTTGGTCGCAGTGTGTGTGGGGCCCATAGTTTGTATGAATGAATGTTTTGAGTGTCACGAACAACATTGTTTTTTTATTGCATCAGTAAGAAGCGGAATTGTTGTTGCAAATAATTGATGTTTTGTAAAACATAATAAAGTTTATATTTTTATAAGATTTAATGGTCTCGGTCTGTTTAAGCAACCACTTTCTGTGATCCTCACTTGGAACACTCCCCTGTTTTTTGTTCATCAAACCTTGGTTGCATGACCTTAGATGACCAATTATAGGAATGCACATAAAGGGATTTGTATAGTATATCAGAGCTCCGGGGAATATACAATTTTTCTTCACTCCAATGGATTACCCCTTGCTTTACAATTTGAGAGTAGAATTGCTTAAGTTGTAGGTAGAAAAACCACCTATCTGGCCTAAGGCAGATTTTGGAGCAACTCCCTATCTATTGCTTGTGAGATCGGCGAAGGCTTCCCCTCTTGCCATTTTAAAGATGCATGGGTATTCATATCCGGGTTAAACTCTAGATTTCCCATAATAGGTGTCATTGGTCCTATATAAGTAGATATATTAAATTTATGGACCACCTGGTCCCATATCTCCAGTACCGCCCTTACTAATGGAGACATTACCTTTACAGATGGTCTATAAGTAGGCTTCACCCATGGAAGCGATGTAAGAGGTGTGGGGGTTAGATTTTGTTCTACTGACACTAATATCTTTATTTTTCCACCTTGGAACCAATCCACCATACAGTTTAAAACCACCGCCATGTAATATAATTCCCTACTCCCCCCTCATCTTTCCTTTTGACTAGTATGTCATATCAAAGTCTAGCCTTCTTATTTACCCAGATATAGCGAAGCAGAGTTGTGCGCAACGATCGAAAGAATGCTCTAGGGACATGGAAGGGTAATGTCTGATATAAAAAAAGAAGACGTGGCAAAATATCCATTTTTATTAGGGCCAACCGGCCCATCCATTAATGTTTTTTTAGTGGCCCAAAGCCCCAACCTCCTGAACTAGTTTCAGAAGAGGTGAATAATTTTTCTCAAAAAACATTTTACACGAGGCGATATATTAACCCCCAATTAGCTTAATGTTTTGGACTCCCATTTAAATGGATAACTATCCCTCACAAATGTACTTTCCTCCGCTTCTAAAGTAACATCCAGGCATTGTGATTTCGCTGCAATCACTTTGAAATTACTCCACCTCCCAAATTTCTCTAATTCCTCTAGTAGATAATGAAAAGCCCTTCTTAGATTTGATATATAGAGCAGAAAGTTGTATGCAAAAAGCCCAAGTGTATGCGATTGCCCACCAATCTCCACACCTCAGATCTCTGGAGCAGAGATAGCGGACATTCTTGGCGCGTCCCATTAGAGATGATCACTTGATCAGATAGTACTGTATACCATTAATTTGAATTCTCGCTGTTGGTGCAGAGTAGAGAGCCATGATATTATTAAGCAATGATACTGGAATTCCAATCTGTCGCAGAGCAGCCTTCAGAAATCCCCAATTTAGGCAATCAAATGCCCTTTCTGCATCCAGGGACACCAACCCCAAAATACTATAATACTGTCCCATACTTCCCTGCATGGCATGAAGTCTACTTGTTCGGGATTGATCAAAGATGTAATGTATGGCTGCAAGCACATCACTATTATTTTTAAATCAGTATTATTCAGGGAGATCGGCCTGTAACTGACACACTGGGCTGGATTTTTATTATATTTAAGGATCAATTATATATGTGCTTCCTGTGCCTGTGGGGGGAAAGGACACATATCTGACAACGCATTATACGTTTCCTGTAAAATAGGAGCCACAGTTTCTTTAAACTGCTTATAAAAGTTAAAAGTAAAAGATTTAGGACAAGAACAAGGGGCAGTGGTGTGAGATGAGGACATGAGGGGGAGGTGCCGGGTGTTCCATCTGATATCCTGCATAGCTGTGTACCCGACGGCTGGAAGACATAGCCGCCTCTGAGCAGGGAGAGCCGAAAAAGAGCTGACAAATTCGGTGGGGCAGACGAACGAGCAACGGAGGGGACAGACAAAGAGAGAACGGAGAGGAGGGGAGCCAGGACAAAGAAGTTGAAAGCTGGAGGAGAAGGAATGCCAACCCGAGGCTGGATAAGATAAAAACTGACAAAACAAATTATTCAGAGGTAATCTGCAAAGATATATAGGAGGCTGTTAACATAAGTAATAATGAGATAGTAAATCTTACAAGTACTTTGATAGGGGAAGTTATGTGATATCGTCATGCAATATAACTATGAATGGGGTGAAAGTCTGCTTTTTCCCAGATTTTCCTAAAGCAAAAACGCATGCAATATGCAGAGGTAAAAAGGAGACTGCGCAAGCATAGTATCTCATATGCTACTCTCTACCTGACCAAGCTTAGAGTAGTCTTAAGAGACAAAGTGCACATTTTTGGAACACCAGCTGAGGCAACATCCTGGATGGAAATGAGCTAACTTTCTAGCTACGACTCAAGGACTAGGAGGCAGAAAAGACAACGCATGCTATTTATCTTTTTAATGGAATAGTGGGTACAGGCACTACATACCAGGCTACTAAGCACCCCACAAGTAGTCTGGAAGATGCAGGATGGAAAGGAATGTGTCCTCACCCGCACATAAAATATCCCCCAAGAGTTTGTGGATGTTTGTTTGGTTTTTTTTTTTGCTTGTTTTGCCATCAGGAACAATATATGCAACAATATTTATTATCACACAATGACACAAGAGGACAATCTTTTCATGGAATGTGAGAGAACTGGGGGAACTATCAAAGAGATATGAAGTGTTTGATTAAAATAAAACGTATTCCCCGGTGATTGTCTGTTTGCAGGAGACGCATATTGTGAGGTAAAATATTATATTTAAAACAGTGGCAGTGTCACGGGGGCCACGTACCTGAGGTGAGACCGAAGTGGTGGGGAGGCCTCCCTTGCACCTTGGGTCCTTGAAGTCTCTGGAGATGGAGACAGAGATTTCGGTGGACACCGAGTGGCACGGGTGCCAGGGGTGCGGAGCACTGTGCAAGCCTTAGTCCGAGATCAAGTCCACTCTGGCAACGAAGTACACAAGGATTAAATCAGAAGAATGGTCGAGATCCAAGCCGGGGTCGGTTCCAATCTGGCAGCTGAGTACAAAAGGGGCAAAGAAGTAGAATGGTCAAGGTACAAATACGAGGTCAATGGCAGGCAGCAATCAAGAGTAGTCAAATAGGTTTCCAGGTCACAACAAGTTCAGACAGATCACACACTAGCACAGGAACAAGGGGGGACTGAAGATAATCCAGCAATTTGGCAGTGTCTGGGCTGGGCTTATATAGGGAAGTGATGATTGAAGTTTGAGGTCACTTCCTGTGCGCCTCCTGGGCATTTTCCCGCCTTTTTCCATCAGGTTGAGGTCACTTCCTGTGTGCCTCCTGGGCATTTTCCTGCCTTTTTCCATCAGGTTGAGGTCACTTCCTGTGCACCTCCTGGGCATTGTCCTGCCTTTTTCCATCAGGTCTTCTGCGCATGCACAGGTTGGCGCACTGATGCGTCTTTGGCGCATGCGCAGTTGGCGCGGATTTCCTCTTGCGGCAAAGCGCCATTGGCACATGTGTAGTAAGCCCTGGACTCAAAGGGGCAGCCTCCGGACGCCCGTCCGGGATGAAGCTCGCTGAAAGAACTGGAGCATGGATATGCGACTCGGGTTCACAGGAATTCTCTTCAGGGCCGTAACCCCTCCACTGTACCAGAAATTGGCGTCCGCGACCCCTTCTACGGCAGTCCAGGATGGCCTCCACCTCGTACCCCTCAATCCCTTCAACCATGGAGGGAGCCGGAGGACGGGCCCCACGTTCCCCAAAGGGGTTCGGGGCCACGGGCTTCAGGAGGGAGGCATGGAAGACAGGGTGGATCCGGTAAGTTGAGGGCAGTTTGAGTTTGTAGACAAAAGGGTTGAATCGGGAAAGGACAGGGAAGGGCCCAATGAACTTAGGGCCCAATTTCTTGGAGGGACAGGCCAACGTCAAATGCTTGGTAGACAGCCAAACCTGGTCTCCCAGTTGGAGATCCAGGTCCCCCGCCGCCTTCGATCATATCTGGTCTTGTAATCCAGCTGCGCCCTGGCCATGGTATCCTTTAGGAGCTCCAAATTGTTGTGCAGAAACTCCACTCTGTTTCAGACAGCCGTGACCGAAGCGGAAGCGGGTAGGACAGGGACAAAATAGGGTGGTACCCCAGGTTGGCGTAAAACGGTGATTGCTTAGTGGTAGAATGTATTGCGTGGTATGCAAATTCTGCGCAAGGAAGAATTCCATAATTGTCTTGGACAAAGGTGGAGAAACAACGAAGGTACTGTTCAAGAGTTTGGTTCGTGCGTTCTGTTTGTCCATTAGTCTGAGGGTGGTAGGCCGAAGAGTAGTGGTTCTCGATGTCTAGAGCAAGACAGAGCTCCTTCCAGAACTTAGAGGTGAACTGGACCCCACGATCCGATACAATATTGCTGGGGACCCCATGGAGGCGTATGATCTCCTTGATAAAAGCCTGAGCCGTTTCAGGGGCCGAAGGAGTGCCAATCATAGGAATAGAATGAGCCATTTTTGTAAGGCGGTCCACAACAACAAATATGGATGTAAACCCATCAGAGGGTGGTAGCTCCACTGTGTAATCCATGCTGATTTGTTCCCAGGGTCTGGAGGGAACAGGCAGGGGGCATAGGAGACCCCATGATTTATTATTTTCCGTTTTGCTGTGATTGCATACCGGGTAGGAATTGACGTAAGCGTGGCAGTCCGCCTTCAGGGTAGGACACCAAAAGGTTCGCAAAGATCGGTGGTTTTGGTCACCCTGAAATACCCTGCTAACTTGTTGTCATGGCAGAGTTTGAGCACTGGAACTCTCAGTTGAAGGGCTACAAACACAGCATGGTCATGGAAGAAAAGTCCTTCCTTTTCTTGCAGATGTTCTCCTGAGGGCAGCTGGTCTAGAGAGGAGGCCAATTTAATCCTGGACAAGAGGTCATCCGTAAGTAGAGGAAATTATAGGCAGGGAGTATCGCGTCCGTCGTTAGCGAGTTATCTGATGTGGGATACATGCGGGATAGAGCATCAGGTTTACAATTCTTGGATCCCGGACGGTACGTGATATGCATTTGGAATCGGGTGAAGAAGAGAGCCCATCTGGCTTGCCTATGTCTCAGACGTTTAGCTGTACGGAGGTACTCCAAATTTCTATGATCAGTGTAGATAAGGATAGGGTGCGAGGCTCCTTCCAATAGATATTGCCATTCTTCCAGGGCCAGTTTAATAGCAAGGAGTTCCCGGTCCCCTACATCATAATTCCTTTCGGCTGGGGACAACTTCCTGGAAAAGAAGGCAACAGGATGCAACATGGCTGTGGCTTCGTGGCGCTGAGAAAGGACTGCCCCGACCGCAATCTCTGAAGCATCGACCTCCAGCACGTAAGGCAGGGCCGGGTTGTGATGACGAAGGGCCAGGGCAGAGGTTATTGCTTCTTGAGTTTGTCGAAAGCCGTCTGTGCTGAGGGGGACCACACAAAATGGCTGTTTTTTTTGGTGAGCTGTGTGATGGGCGAAATTATTGACGAGAAGCTTGGGTTGGTGGGAGGATCGTAACATCTTTGCAGATAAGAACCCATTTCGTGATCAGATCCATTTTTTTGCTCGATATATTGATGATCTCGTGTTTATTGTGGATCAGGATCTCAATGTAGAATCATGGCTGCAATATGTGAACAACAATGAATTAAATTTGAAGTTTACTGTAGAAGAACAAATTTTAGAAATGAATTATTTCGATCTGATCTTGATAGGGAGTGTAGAGGAAGGCAACATACGGGTCCATTCTTTTCGGAAACCCATTTTCAGGAATACCTTACTTAGAGCTGATAGGGACAATTTACCCGCATGAAACGAAACTGTACAGACAAAGACGACTTTTCTAAAGAGTCAAAGGACTTGGAAAGATGCCTCTTAGATAGGGGCTAATCTCAATCCCTGGTAAGATCAGCATATGAAAGTGTACGTGATGTTCCTAGATATAATTTACTTAGCGATGTACCCAAGAGGACGAGAAGAGGAAGAATTCCCCCTTAGTATTTTCTACTCGTTATAGTCAACAATTTGAAGATGTTAAAAAGATTTTTAAGGAGGTACTTACCTATTCTTCATGGGGATACAGATCTTAGAGATATACTAGATACAGGTATACGTTTTGTAGCTAGGAAAGCACCTAGTATAGGCAATATGATTTCCCCCAGTCTTTTTAGAAGTAAGAGAGGACCCAGCATTAATTGGTTAAGAAGAACAGGTCTATACAGATGTAATGCAGCCCGATGTTCAAGCTGCAGTATTTTGGGTGATAATCATCTCATGACTTCTTATTCTAATGGGACAACATTTAAAATTAACCAGCTAGTCAATTGTCAGACCTGATTTGTTATATATATAATTTCTTGTACCATCAAGACCACAAGACGACTGTGTGACTGCATGAGAGATCATTTATCCAATATTAGAACCTCTAAGAATACTAACGTAGCTAAACATTTTTGTCACTATCATAATAGTAATATTAAAAGTATGAAGGTACAGATTATAGAAAGAGTTGATACACCTTTAAGAGGAGGAGATCGAGCTTCCCTTTTGTCATTTTTGGATTTTCAAGTTAGACACTCGCATCCCTAAAGGTGTAAACTTTGAGTGGGATGTTACATATTATTACGAGTGATATGAAGTTTATGTTAAAGTTATGAGTTTTGATGGATTCTGGTCTTATTTTTCACTTGATAATACATTAGTGCTTTTGACATTTTCTGAAATATTGAGAGGAAGGTTCTGGGCAATTGCCTGGGACACCTGTGTTAGAAGATCTTTTTCTTGATGGTTCTTAGACTATAGTATTTTAAATAAACCATTCAGCTACTTTTTGTGGGTTTCTCTGTTCGCCTAAATAGCCTTAGTAGTGTAGTTTCCAGATAATATCTACCATATTTGATGTTCTCAGAGCATATATTATGATATTTAATATTTATATTTTATTATAAGACCTTTATGATAAGAAAGATTTTTAGTAATCATCTGTTACTTAATTTATAGAATTTTTAGGAGACTATGCTAATGATCAATGTATATCCATTAATGAGATCTCAGTACTTTACTTTTTATATAATATTGTATATTGATCAAGAGGTTAGTTTGTGATTATTTTTTCCGATTTATATTTATATTGTTTTTAACGTGCACTTGCACTTTTTATAACTGTGGATGCAGTTTTTTTACATACACCTTTGATTTATTTAGTTACATGCGTTATAATATCAATTTTGGTTTTACCTTTAACTAATGAGTGGCATTCTTCTCCTGTTTTGACATCGGATTGTAGATATGGTTGTAAAATATGTGTATATATGTATACTGTATATGTTCATGGCGATTAAGCTTTTGTGTTTCATAGTACTGATCTATATCAGTATATAGTACTGATATATTGGTCTATTTGGGTGAGAAGAGCCACTCATTTGTTATAGTTTATTTAATTATGTATGTATTTATTTATGTGTTTATACACTTGTATGTATTTGCAAGAGTTTGATATTTTATTTTATATATTTCACTTCTGTGCACCGTCTTACACCCTGCACAGTTGACAGGGAGATTGCGGTTTGGTGAGATGGAGTTCAAACATCTGACTCCATTTGGTATGGAGATTACAACATGTATGATGGGATTGGTAGTTTCTTTGTGCTCTACTGACCCTTATAAACCAGCCAGTTTAGAGTTAACCTATCCATCAGCGAGCATTGCTTCCTGCACCTGTGTAGGGTGGAGTTTTTTTAACACATTTAAGTGAGATTCTGGTCTGTATTTGTTACCTCTATGACTAAGCCTTCGGGTGAAACATATGAGAGGTTGTAGTTGGTTGGGGGTGTGCAGTGCTGGCATTTGTTGCATTTGTAGCTTTATACACTTTTTCACTGATATACTGGATTTGCTGTGAATTTTAATAAAGTCTGCAGTATTGGAATTCTCTGGATAGTGCGGTCTGTTCGTATACTGCTGTATTGACGAGAAGCCTTTGATGAATCTTCTATAAAAAATTAGCGATTCCCACGAACCTCTGGACGACCTTACGGTCCGAGGGAACCGGCCATTCAAGCACTGCAGTTACCTTCTGGGGGTCCATGGATATGCCAGAAGTCGAAATAATGAGGCCAAGGAATTGTATGGTATCTTTCTCAAACTCACATTTTTCAAGCTTGGCGTAGAGTTTATGGGCTCGGATGCATATGGGATCTAAGTACACTATCATGAAGAGGTCAACAAAATCCCGATAGATATCGTTCACTAGGTGTTGGAAAGTTGCTGGGGCGTTACACAGCCCAAATGGCATGATAAGATATTCAAAATGGCCAAACCTAGCACGAAAGGCCGTTTTCCATTCATCACCCTCTCTTATCATTATTAAATTGTAGGCCCCCCGTAGGTCCAATTTTGAGAACACCTTGGCGGTGCG